TATATATATATATATATATATATATAAAAAATAGAGGTAGCATGTATGAATGGCTTCATTTAAAGCTAGTCAGGATGGGGTTATACCTTTATAAAAATAATACAAAATTACATTTCAAAAGGTCTATGATAAACTTGTATTGAACATGCATTTTATGACCATATAAAATATTCTATGTGGGATCATTTGGTTTTCTACTGTCATTACTATTTTTCATAATGCACATCACATATTCTCGGAGGTTTTTATAGCCACCTAGCATTTGTTTATTGAACTTGAGAAATTTTCCTTAACTTTTTTTAAATAATAAACCTTTTAGAATATATATTTTTATAGCATGTTGTAAGAAAATTTTTATCTGTTTTGGTGATCTGCATAATGTAGCATTTGCATAGTATTGAATGAGGACGCTAGAAAGAACTCTTGAAGTGAATCGAGATTTACGAAATTAGGTTATTTCACTTTGTATTCCTGATTAACTGGCATTGTAAAGGAACTCCAAAGTATTTGAATTGAAAAGTTTAATTGCATATTATCAGCATAAGAACAGTGTAGGTTGTGTTTAATTGTAAAAGAATTACTCCATAAAATCCTACATTTTATAATTTGACATTAATTTGCATGATGAGGTTAAAACTTGCCCCATTTTTCTGTCACGTACCCTTCCTGATTGTACAAACATTTTTAAGAAGCACTTCAAACACTTGTGTAAGACCTGTAGCTTTTTTTCATTACATGAGAACTTAAACTTTGATAAGTGTAAATATCTGGATGGAAGCCTGTTAGTGAAGGTCATCGTGTAGAATTTTGTTTGATAACAGATGATAGGAAAAAAAAAGTTTATATTTGCTTCTGAGGTCTGTGCCTCCTCTGGCCTACGAGAACTGTTGCATCTGCTGAATTTACATCTGTGCCTTTTGGAGTTCCGAGTGGTATGCTCAGAAGAAGTTTGTGATTAAAATGTGAATTGGCTCTGCTTTCATCGAAGGTTGGTTATCCCCATTCTTGGTGTCTTCTGTCCCCGGAGGTTTTCCAGTTAAATTCACCTGTTGTGGCGAGGAACTTGAAATGTTGCTATTGTTTGGAACTTATCTCAAGTATTTTTTTGCAGGGAGTATTGATCTTTGGTGGAGACTATCGTGCTACTCTGCATTACAGTATTCCAAAGGATGGCAGTGGATTAAAACGTGGTGATGCTGGCAAAGCTGACTGGAGCTGCAGTAAAGTAGGGTATATTTCTTATAGGTGGTTAGAAACATTTAGCTGTTTTGGTTCCACATACTTGTGACTTACAAAAATTTGCTTTTCAAAGTTGCATATCTGTTCAGCCAAAACATTAAATTTTGATTATTATAACCTTTTGATGAAGTTGTATAGTTCAGTATGGTTGGAAAGAAGTAAAGCTTTGATTATATGACATTTCTGTGAAACGTAGTTTTACATTTTATTATATGCAAATTAAAATAATTTCAATTAGGAATGTCATTCTTCTGAATATTATGTAAGTACTATGAAGATGTGAAACTTACAGTATGTATCCATTTAGTAAATCTGATATAATCTTATCTATTTAAATGAGAAACAGATATTTTTTTTTCATTAAAAATATTTTCTCGCTCAACTAGGTCAGATAGTTCTGAATCATTGTTTTCAGTTTTATTTCACACTTGGTTTAAATCATTGATGCTTGTTTTAGTGTGGACTGAATAACTTTCGGAGGAGAGATGCATGCTTTAAATGTGACACTCGCAGAGAGGGTAAGAGTTTTATATTGGTTATTGTTTCTTTTCGTTATTACTGAACCTTAAAGTTTTATAGCTAATTCTGAAGACTAAAGTCCTGAGTATTCTGAAAATGTATTTCTTCTTATTTTTTACAAAGTACTTTTAATTTAACCCATTTCTTAGCAGTTAGATACAAGTTGTCGTTTTCTTAAAAGAACTCACCATTCGATGGAGTTGAACTAATTTGTTCACAACCATCTCCACTTTGTCTTCTAACATCTTCAGATTCTAGAAAACCAAATTATGTTCAATACTTAATTCAAAACAACAACAAAATTCTGGTAAAGTATTTTATTTTTTTTATGAGCTTGTGCTATACAGTTCAAAATAAACAACTCCTTAACTTACATATTTAAAATTATTATTATAATATTATTACAGTTAAAATTTAAAATATAAACAAAATGATAAAAGATATTAACTTGTATGAAGAATAGATACTTCAATGATTTTTGAATTCCTTTATTTTTTTGTAAAACCTATACATTTGACTATTTTTTTTTTAAAGAAATACAATGATTTGTAGAAAATTAAGATATTTGTTATTCTGGATTATTGCTAAAGGTGTTAACAGTTAATAAATCTACATATTTTTACTAAAATGCACAGTATTAGTAAAATATTATAATTACGTTTGGAAGGTTTGCATTATTTCAAAATAACATTAGCTCACATTGTGTACAGTGTGGTTGTGATTTATATGGGGTACTGTTTTCAAATATGTTTCATAAAATTTGAAATATTTATTACTTGTGAAACAATGAAATAAATTGATCCTCTCATATTGATCACACTACCTCATTTAAATTTAGCTGTTTGTTTTTAAAAGTTTTATCATTTTGTATATTCGTCTCCCTCTGTATTTTTATTTGAACTAACTTCATAGACCGTTGTTGAAATGATATTTAGTTTGATTATATTAAGTTTTCAAGAAAAAGTTAATCCTCTCATTTTGTTCATGTTTTCTTATGTTTGAATCTAGACTTCTTTTAGACTGTGTTATAATTGTCCAAATGCTTCATTTTACCATATGACCATAGCATGTTGTCTGTGTACCACATGAAAGAATGAAGTGTGTTGTGATTGTTAATGTTTGCTAGAGAATCATGTGATACTAAATACAAATTTCTGTTCTAATTACATTTGTTTTTACACTGAAATTTAAACTTGGCAAAGAGTACTGTCAAGACTTTTGACAGGAGCGTTAATATGTATTTATTATACACGTGAAAAGTTTGTTGTTTTTTTTTTATTGAGGAATATATATGAGTATATGTTATTGTCAAGTTTGCACTTTAGTACACAATCAAACCTTTTGGCCACCAAATTTGGGGCTGTTTAATGGCATGCCAAATTTGAAATGCCCAAATTATTTCTCTAATAATATTATTCTAGGTGTGAAACATTTAAACAAAAATTTATTGTTTACTGCATACCTTTTCTTTTGCTGCAATGTATATTGCCAAATTAACTGTCATATAAATTTTGACTGATGGCTCACTAACCTTTATCCTTTTATTGGTATCACCTAAAGTTGTGCCAAGCAGCTAGTCTACTTCATATAGGTAAACATACTTGCTAATTTTGCAGCATCTCCTGTAAATAGGCCTAGTTAAGTAATATACCCATAGACCTATTGCAATATATTCTGTCATTTTTGTAGCAGAATTAATCATCTTTTAATGAATTATTTAAGTTATCCATTTAGAATCATAGTGGTATATTTAATCTATCTGGTAAATTATGGGTGTTACTTATTTAGCATTTGTACCAACTTATCTGCTTTGCCATGCATGTTTTATTATTTGAGCATTCTAGGTATTATTTAACTCCCTCCCACTTTTTAGACAATCGAGACTCACACGGTGGAGTTTGTACTTTTAGTCAAGAGTAGAGAGTGAATACAGTTTAAAATTGAAAGTCGTGAAAAATACATGTTCAAATCACAAGCAGTTATATAGCTTTGGGAATTAAACAAGCACTACTGATTTGTGATTAGGTAAACTGTTAACTTTTTCAGCACATACTTGGTCCCTAGGACCAATCTCGTAACCATTTTGTACTTCTTACAATTTCATTCTATAACCTTTAAATTAGTAAGCAATGTTAACGAAATTTGGCAGATTATCATGAAACATTACGATGCTTTCATATGCAAAATATCAAATTTCTTTATTAAGTCTTAAGATTTCTAAAGCAATG